CTAGTGGTTGTTCGGTGTTATGCATTCAAGAAACTAAGCGTGAATCTTTTGATCATGCTTTTATTAAAACTTTCTGTCCTAAGAGATTTGATAAGTTTGCGTTTGCCCCCTCTGTGGGTGCTTCGGGTGGTATTCTAACTGTTTGGAATAGCTCCCTCTTTCTGGGGTCACCATGGCTGATCGAGTCATATGCCGTGGGTGTCTCTTTCGTTTCCACCCAATCGAATGAGACCTGGAATTTAGTTAATGTTTATGGTCCTTGTTCTGGTCAGCGTCGGGTGGATTACAGTTCATGGTTATTTGATCTCAACATACCTAGTAATGAGAATTGGTTGATTCTGGGGGACTTTAACTTCATCCGCTCACCGGATAATAGAAATAAACCTGGTGGTGATGCTGCTGATATGCTCATGTTTAATGAATTTATCCGTGCACAGTCTCTTATGGAGTTACCTGTTAAGGGACGATCGTTCACTTGGAGTAACATGCAAGATGATCCATTGCTCGAGCAGCTCGACTGGTTCTTCTCTTCGTCAAATTGGACCATTGTTTTCCCTAACACAGTGGTTCTGCCACTTGGTAAACCAGTCTCTGATCACGTCCCATGCGTAGTAACCATCAAATCAAAAATCCCAAAGTCCAAGCTCTTTCGGTTTGAAAACTACTGGATACAACATGAGGGTTTCATTGAAGTGGTCGCTCGTTCTTGGTCCAAACCCTGCCACGCTCCAAACGTTGCTGCTCTTATCTGCAAAAAAAATGAAAAACCTCTGTTATGAGCTTAAGAGATGGAGCCGCGGTATCTCAAAACTCAAGCTCTTGATACAGAACAATAATGATGCTCTCGTGCATCTGGACAGTATCGTAGACAAGAGAGCTCTTGTCATCCAGGAAAATAATTTCAGACGCATACTGAAATTACATCTTAACAGGTTGTTGAAGTATCAAAACGAATATTAGAGGAAAAGGTGCATGGTAAGATATTTCAGGTTCGCTGATGAAAATACCAAACTCTTTCAATCTCTGGCTACTGAGAGGTTTCGGCATAACTCGATCGCTAACCTGCGGGATGGTGGCGTGGTGGTTTCTGATCACGTCGGCAAGGAAGGAATCTTGTATAAAACTTACAAGGAGCGTCTGGGATCCTACAAACCTACTACCATGCGTTTCAATCTCCCCCAGATTATCAGACGTGTCCCTGGACTGGATGTGCTGTCTCAGCCTTTCTCTAAGGACGAGATTGACACTGTTGTCAAGGAAATGCCAACCGACCGTGCCCCGGGCCCTGACGGTTTTAATGGTTGTTTTCTCAAGAGTTGCTGGTCGATCATTAAGGAGGATTTTTACAAAATGTGCCAGGAATTCTATGATGGCAACCTGGATCTTGACAGCATCAGTGAGGGGTTTATAACCTTGATTCCAAAATCTGCTTCTCCTGAAACTGCCAATGACTACATACCAATAACCTTGCTGAACTGTTGTCTGAAAATCATCACTAAGATTCTGGCTAACCGTCTGCAGAAAGTCATTATGTCGATCATCCATAGAAACCAGTACGGCTTCATTAAGGGGAGGACCATCCAAGACTGCCTTGCTTGGTCGTTTGAATATATTCATCAGTGTCAGAGATCGTCGCGTGAGATTATTTTGCTAAAATTGGACTTTGCCAAGGCCTTTGATACCATCAAACATGCCCCGATGATGGAGATCATGGAACATATGGGTTTTGATGACAAGTGGCTGGGGTGGATGAGATCTATCTTCGGCTCTGGTGTGTCTTCAGTTTTGCTCAATGGGGTTCCGGGCAGGAAATTCCAATGCAAATCCGGGGTGCGCCAGGGCGACCCCCTCTCTCCTCTGATTTTTGTTCTCGCTGCAGATCTTCTCCAGGCTGCAGTCAATGACGCCTTTGCCCGAGGACTGATCGACCTACCCATTCCTTGTAGTCGTGATGGTGATTACCCGGTGGTGCAGTACGCAGATGACACCATTCTGGTGATGCATGTGTGTCCTGTCCAAGCTACCCATATGAAATCAATCTTGGAGGATTATGCTGCCTCTGCTGGTCTAAAAATCAACTTTCATAAGTCCACTCTTATACCCATTAACCTTGATCAGTAGCACGCGGTGGACTTGGCTCAAATTTTCGGCTACTCTGTTGGATCTATGCCTTTCACTTACCTTGGCCTCCCCATGGGCACGACAAGGCCGACGCTGCTTGATCTCATGCCGTTGGTGCACGGGGTGGAAAGGAAAATGTCAACAGCCCTTGCGCTGATGTCCTCGGGGGCTAAGCTAACCCTGGTCAACTCTGTTGTTACATCCATGCTGATCTACGCCATGTGTATAATCAAACTACACCCAAAAGTTATTGAGCACCTCGATAAGCTGCGCAGGTACTGTCTTTGGGTGAAAAATTCTAATGATGGCATCAAAAATAATTCCCTCACTGCTTGGGAGTTGGTCTGTAGACCCAAAAACAAAGGGGGTCTCGGTGTCATTGATATCAAGACCCAGAACGCTGCCCTCCTACTAAAACATCTGTTCAAATTTTATAACCACCATGATGTTCCATGGGTGACCCTGATCTGGGACACGTATTACACTGACAGGGTCCCACATGCAGTGGAACAGTTGGGCTCTTTCTGGTGGCGTGATGTTATGCAGCTTAGTGATGTGTTTCGCGGGATCACCAAGGTTGTGCTGGGTAATGGCTCATACTCTCTGTTCTGGAAAGATGCATGGTTCGACGATCGTGACACCCCTCTTATGGAGCTTTACCCCGGGGCCTTCTCTTTCTGCCTAAACGATGATGAGCCCGTGGTTAATATTCTGACTGCCTCGGATCCCAGTTTGATCTTTCATCTACCTCTCTCCACGCAAGCGAGACAGGAGATCAGAGCTATTCAGCACGGGTCCATGCATGTCGTGCTTGACGTGGATTGCAATGACTCCTGGGTTTGTAACCTTGGCGGGTCTTTCTCCTTCAAGAGATACTATCATCACTGCTTCAGAGACACGGTAGCTGACGAGGCTTTTGGGTGGTTATGGAAGGCCAAGAGTCCAATCAAGTTCAAAATGTTCGGTTTACTTTTGATGGTTGATCGCCTGAACACTAGAAATATGCTGAAGCGCCGCCATTTTGCAGTGGCTGGGAACATCTACACGTGCATGCTCTCTCATAACCCTCCCGAGGAAACTGTCGAGCATCTCTTCTTCAACTGCCCGTTCAGCCGACGTTGTTGGGACAAAGTTGGCATGCTATGGCCAATCTCTGGCAATAGATTAACCCTCATACATGCTGGCAAAGAGGGTTGGCGCCGACCGTTGTTCATGGACATTTTCCTGCTGGCGGCTTGGAGTTTATGGAAGGAGCGAAATAATCTTTATTTCAGGGGGGTCCCACATTCTTTTCGCTCGTGGCTAGCTAGGTTCAAAGAGCTCTTGGTTTTGTTAGTTCACAACTGTAAGGAGGCCCTGTGTCCCTCCCTGGAAAACTACATACAAAGCTTGTAGCTGTTGCCTAGATATTTCTCTAAAAGTAATGCCCGGGGAGGCTCACACCCCACTTGTAACTATGTTGTAATTGGTCCCTTGTGAGTAATACAAAGTCAGTGGGAGCCTCTCCCACTGTCGTGCAGTTTCAAAAAAAACACCACTCGCTTCTGGGAGGATACTTGGCTTGGTGAAACGCCGTTGGTGCTTTAGTATCCGTCCCTATATCGTATTGTTCAAAGACGTGATGCTCTTGTTGCCACAATTATGCAGTCCATTCCCTTTAATATTCAGTTTAGGAGGGCGCTTGTGGGCGACCGGTGGGAAGCATGGCTTCATTTGGTGAGTAGACTGATGGAGGTTCAGTTATCTCATCAGCCTGATCAGTTGTGTTGGAAGCTTACTAGGTCTGGAGAGTTCACAGTTAAGTCGATGTATATCGATGTCATTAACTCTAGTGTTATCCCTAGCTCCAAAGAGGCTTGGAAAGTCAAAGTGCCTTTGAAAATTAAAGTGTTTATATAGTTTGTACATAAACAAGTCATTCTAACAAAGGATAATTTGGTTAAGCCAAATGGACAGGATCTACTAGGTGTAGTTTCTGTGATCGGGACGAAACCATCAAGCACCTCTTCTTTGACTGCCCTTTGGTAAAGGTTTTGTGGCACACGGTGCATATTGCCTTTAACATTACTCCTCCGAATTCGGTCAGTACGTTATTTGGAACGTGGCTTGTTGGGATAGAGTCCGAAACAGCTAGACACATTCGTGTAGGAGTATGTGCTTTGTTGTGGGCAATTTAGAATTGCGGAAATGATTTGGCTTTTAACAGAACAATGAATATTCATTTTTTGCAGGTTTTATTCCGAGCTACTGCGTTGATCCGTATGTGGTCGTTACTCACTCCGACGGAGGCCAGGGAGCGTTTGGTTACTGGATCTGTCCGGTGGGAGATGGTAGCGCGGGATATCTTCAACCAGTTTGGATGACGGTCATGTAATAGGATAGGCAATTAGTTTACCTATCTTTGTTTTGCCAGCCGGTTGTGCCTTTTGGACCTTTTGTTTTTGGCGTTGTGGCTCTTCATGAGCTCGCCGTTATTTCGTTTTCAGACTATACGACCTTGTTGAACACCTTTATTTATCTATAAATGTGGCCCTATGCATCGTTCTCATACAGAGACCGGAAGTCCCCTTTTCGAAAAAAAAAGTTGGCCTAGCCACACAGTACGAAGTCAACCCTCAAGACTTCAAAACATCCACCTCCCCTCTCTCTTCACTCGCAGCATCGAGTCTTCAATCTCGCCACGCCCACTCCCTCCTCTCCAGGCCAAGGCCAACCAACAGGGTACAATAACCAGGTTCTCACTATTCTATTCCAACTTCTCATTCCCACTTTACTCCAGCAATCTTGTGCTCTCTTCTAATTTTATCTCGGTTGCTCGGTATTGATTCACCGTCTCCTCCTTCCAGGGCGCAGCGCTTGCTCGTTTCATCTCTCGTGCCATGCCACAGGTAGCACAGTACAAGATCGCGCTGTGCCAGCTGCCTGTCACCGCGGACAAGCACGGCAACATCGCCCGCGCGCGCGCCCGCATCGACGCCGCCGCGGCCGCCGGCGCCAAGCTCGTCGTCCTGCCGGCAAGTGCCCCCTTCCTCCTCCTCTGTTACTTACTGGCCACGGAACTGAGATTCACCTCAAAGCAGCCAGGAAGAATTGACGGAGGCTCACGAAGCTCGCTTCTCTGACGACGTTGCTCTGCTCCAGGAAATATGGAACTGCCCCTACGCGATGGAGACCATGCCGAGCTACGCCGAGGACATCGACGGCGGCCGGTCGCCGTCGGTCTCGATGCTGTCGGAGGTGGCCGCTGCCAGGAAGATCACCATCGTCGGCGGATCCGTGCCCGAGATGGCGTCGGGGCAGCTGTTCAACACCTGCTGCGTGGTCGGTCCCGACGGAGAGATCAAGGCCAAGCACAGGAAGGTAAAGGAGCCTGGCTTATGCCGTCTTCTGCATCAAATTTTTCGCATGTCACTTGCAGTGACTAACTTTCAGCAAAAATATTCCAGCTGCATCTGTTTGGAATTGACATCCCCGGAGACATCACTTTCAGGGAATCCGATACCTTCACTGCTGGGCAAGAACCCACCGTGGTTGACACAGGTGTGCTCACCGTGTGTACTGAAAATTCTGGATCAAGTTTACTGTATATTTTGACTTGAAAACAAGTAGCAGCTGCATCGAGCTTGTCAGTAGAATGCACTGGAGCGTCATATTTCAGTGTTTATGATGTTCCCTGAAATTCTACTACTACAGTTTTACCCATCGTTAGCACATTTACTGAAGTTTATGCGCCGTTTAAATTTCTCTCCTCATCTATTTGTATATGATAATAACCAATCCTTGTAGTCTTATTATTACAGATGTTGGACGGATTGGTATTGGGATTTGTCATGATATCCGGTTCCCAGAACTGGCAATGCTGTATCGATCAAGAGGTATGCCTTGCAAGTTCAGTCCTTGATGCCAATCGACGCAAGCGTCTATCGTGTCCAGTAAAATTCCAGTCCCTTGTGAAACATGCAGGTGCACACTTGATATGCTACCCTTCTGCATTTAACATGAGCACCGGGCAGCTCCTCTGGGACCTTATGCAGAAGTCCAGGTTCAGTTATCTCTCTTCTCCAACTGTTCTGTCACCTTTTTCCGTAAGTTCTTTACCAGATATTTAGCTAATTCTCTTATTTTTACCCCATGGATCTGCCCACTTCACACGGTCAGGGCTGTTGACAATCAGGTGATCAGCAATTGATTACTACTAACTGTGACCTGCAGTTGTTCCTCACTGTACTGAAATTCATGGAAAAACCAATCCCCTTAAACGGTCTTGGTTTCAGCTGTTCGTGGCGACCTGCTCACCTGCGCGAGACCCCAACTCGCCGTCGGAATTCGTGGTCTGGGGCAACTCAAGCCTCATCGCACCAGTAAGACTACGCACGCATCACTGACGCAGAGTTCTGCTGACCTCTCCATTGTGATAATTTGGACTCCAGCCAAAGGTGAAGCTAACCATGTTGGCATCCACTTTTTTTTGTCCTACTAGTTTGGCGAGGTTCTTGCGGCGGCAGGGCACGAGGACGCGACCGTCATCGGCGAGATCGACCTGTCTTTGGTTGAAGCTGTAAGGTACAAAATCCATCTTTTTGGAATTTGTGCTTGCGATTGTGTTCTGTTTGGGCTCAGGCGTCAGGGAAAAATCTGTGCAGGGCGAACCTCCCTTTGGAAACGCAGGGTAGAGGGGATCTGTACAGGCTGATCGATGTCCAGAGGGAACGTTCGAGCTAGCTGCGTTGCTCGAGGAGATGGAAATGCAGCGCACAGAGCTGAAGAAGGCCACGTCTGCATGTGTTGGTCACATGCTAGGTTCAGTAAGACACTAAGACTGTAAGGGGTTTGCAAAATTGTGTAGCGGCATGCAAAGATTCGGGATGCCATAATACTGTATCCTTGTACTGCATTTGTTTTCTTATTACAGTGAACTAAAAGTAGATGTGGATTTGAGTAGTCCGGATTCTGCTAAAACCCGGTTACTAGTAGGTTTTCCCTTTTTGAGACTTTGAGTATTTGCTGTATGGATTTTGTGTATCTTGGTAGGTGTGTGAACTCAGTTGCATTTCCATCGCTTCGGGGTGGTATTTTTTAGTCAATAAAAACGTATTTATCCAAAAAATATAATAGATGAATATAGTAGAAGGTGAACGAGAGAGAAATAGAATAAACAGCGAGAACATTTTGAGTAGCCGAAATAAAATGAACAGCGAAAGAAAAAAATGTGTTG